TACACAAACTGCCATTATGAGGGAAATAGTAGATAGATTCTTTCCCGATAATTGGGTAATTAGTATTTATATGGGAACAGTAATCAGTCTATGTGATTGGTGGTCACCGTATAAAGCTGCACGAACAGCGTTGAATAATACACTTGAGAATTCTAATGTGAAAGGGATTGCCCAAAAATATGGAGTAAAAATGGATGTAAGTTTATAAGAATTCTTCATGAAGTCTCTTTAACTATAAAAAAAAAACTACAATTTTACATAAAGAAAATATTCCAGAAATTAACGCAAGAAACTGACGAGGTACAATTGGCAGGCACATTGGACGAAAATGCGACAGGTTCTTTAGTCAAATTAGTGAGAGAATGCAATGTTACATTGCATTGGATTCTTCTGCACACCGCTACGCCCACCATAACATTAGAGGATTCAAAACGTTTGCGTACTCTACGTCAGTTGGTCGTGATGGAAAGCAAATATTCCACAGTAAAATGTCTTCGTTTATTACTAAGCACTGCTCAAATTGAACAGGATGTTAAACAGATGTATAAAGATGTATGTTTAAGATCATTCTTTTTCATTGCGCTATTTATATTTGTTTGTGATTAATATAAATTTTTTTTACATTAGCTTTTGGTTGGAAAAGAAGCTAAATGGTTGAAGGACAAAGGGATATGCGTCGAACGTATAACTGATCTTGCACAAATTTTTGGTGGCGCCAAACCTCTAGATGGTATTGATAAAAACCAAAATCTTTATACATGGTTCATGGAAATAAGTAAACACATTGATTCATTAAAGCAAGAAGATGGACGAAAGATAGTGCAATTACTGCAAGCATTGGAACAAGTTCAAGGTAAAGAAATCAATTACATTATTTTTTTTCTATCTAAAATAAATTCATATAAACATTTGTATTATACTATAATATCTTATAATGTTTTTTTCCCCAGAATTTCATCAATTAGAAAATAATCTACACATTTCACAATATCTCGCTGATACACGCGAGACTCTACACAATATGTTGCGTACTGGCAGCATATCTGAAGACATCATGATAAATTTAAATATCGTAACCGATTGTTGCTACGCATGGAACATTATGGAATCTTTTATCGATGTAATGCAGGAGAGCATAAAGGGAAATCCGCCAACCGTTATCAAACTAAAAGCACTTTTCCTTAAAGTAAATACACAAGCAATTAAAATCATATGACGTACACACATTATATACTTTATACATTACATTATTTTTAGATGGCATCAGCATTGGAAACTCCATTGCTGAGGGTAAACCAAGCACGAAGTGCGGACTTGTCCTCCGTGTCTCAGTATTATAGCAGAGAACTGGAGGGATATGCAAGGCGTGTTTTGCAAATTATACCCGAAACTGTGTTCGGTTTATTGGCAGAGATAGTGCATCTTGAAACAAATTCATTTAAAGAGATCCCAACTAAATTACCTAAAGATAAACTTAAAGATTATGCACAACTGGCTGAAAGACTACAGGTACACTATTAGAAATAATTCTCATTGATATTGTGTTTATTTAAAAGAAAGCAACATTGTTATATTATTATAGATGGCAAAATATACATATGCTGTATCGGTTTTCACAAAGGGTGTTCTGTCATTAAGAAGTGTTTCTTTAGGAGTTTTGAGAGTTGATTCACATCGTCTCTTAGAAGATGGTATACGTCAGGAGCTCGTTAAGAAAGTTACTTTAGCTTTACAGAATGGCCTTAACTTTGATCAAAAGTCCAAGGTAAATTCCAATAAATGAGAAATTTTTTTCCTAAAATTATATACCTAATAATTGTTACAAATATTTTTTTAGATATCTCTTCTACAAAAACTGAATCATTTATCCTCAATTATGGACGGATACAGAAAATCTTTTCAATACATTCAAGATTATATTAACATAAACAGTTTGAAAATATGGCATGAAGAAGTGAGAGAATTATATGATTATATAATTTCTTATATAAGTTACACAAAAATGTTTTCGTATGCTCGTAAATTCTATTCTAAATATGCGCATCTTTAGATCACATATATTATAAACAATGCCGTCGAAGAAGAACGTAGAGGCTCTTCCTGGGTGCCAGGAAAATCATGGAGACAATTTCAAGAAGATAAGCACGCCTTTTCAACCGATAGTAGCTCTTTAACATTCATGGGTAGACTTGCCAGAGAGCTTATCCGTATTACTGATCCGCGGTATTACGTTATTTATATTTCGATTTCGCTCTTATAAAAAAATTGTACTACGTCTCTAACTGGCTTATGTTTTTTCAGAACCATCGTGTACATAGAACATTCTCTAGCATGGTATGACATTAAAACGCAGAATGAAGTCTTAAATTACAAGGTTTTCTCGGTGATATTAGAAACAATAGGCACGCCAGGATTATCGGGACTGGACAAGCTTATCTCCTTCTTCATTGTCATAGAACTAGAAGCTTTAGTTCACTATATAGAAAAGAGTATACGGAACAAAATATGGCTATCATTGTTAGAAGATTGTGAGACCACTTTAAATTCTTTAGATAGTGCTAAAAGTAAGAATTCGCATTAGAAAAATATATATATATAACGAAAATAAGGATAATTAACATATATTTATATAAAGTATCGCGTATGTGCCTTAGGTAACATTACGAAACTTCACAATTCTATAAACGCTAGCAGTAGCAAATTGTGGTCATCAGCGCTTGAGTGGGCGTTAAAAATAGGTCACTACCAATTATTGAGGAAAAAAATAGCATATGAACTAAACACTGCGTGCAAATTTGAAGCGAAGCATATGGAAGCAGCGCTTCGAACATTGAATACGTACGTAGAAATTAATTTACAATTTTGCGATTTCTTTTAATTCTTTTTTTATTCTTTTGTAGGGCCGTTTTATGCGAGATAGCGAAAAAAGATAATATCAATAATGAGACCGAGCCGGAGAAAAGCGAATTACTTCATGAACTTAGCGTGCGATTGGACTGGGTTGGCATCAGTGATCCACATAACAAAGTTTATATTAAACCACCAAAGATGGATAATATAGCTATTATTATTTTCCTATTTACAGTATCGCAGTTGAATAAATTATTCTACTGCAAAAATACAGGTATAATTTTATCGTAATATACACACATACACACACAATATATATATATATATAACAAACATTTGACTTATTGTAGCAAGTCTGTTAAGTAAGAAATATCAAGATCCCGTTGACGCTGTGGTATTTGCTATAGGAATACAAACGATTCTTCGTCAATTTCACATTTCTGTGATGAATCGTTATGTAAAATATCTTTGCATGTACGTCCTATCGTTTGTCACTGTAGAGAGGTAAGCATAATTTTATAATCTTAATATTGTAGATATAACAATATAACATTGCTTGAAATAGATGTTACTAACGCGGGAGTGTTTTTTTCAGTATGAAAGCGGGAGGTGATGCAGAAACTGAAGGGGCTACTAATCTTCATTTTTTGGAGCTTTTTGTTAAATATTCTGGCATTCCACGTTCTCTTATTCTTAAAGAAATACCTGTCGTCGTTTTAGATCACTCTTTGGTCAAAATGACAAAATGACGCTGCGTCCGAAACTCATGAAATAATATTACATATTGTAAATGATATATACATTATTACATGCATATATATTCCTACATTATAAAAACATATATATATATATTTTGTGTAAATAAAAAGAAGATTAAAAGGATCGTGTTAATCAATTTACTTTTCGTAGAAATATATCTACCGCGTAGAATTCCTTGTAATTGAAAAGTTCGACCACTTAGGAAATTACAATTTATTTGCGCAATTTAATTACGCTTTCTTTTTTAATTTATCATCGGTCAGATCTAATGCTCGCAAAAAATCGCATGCAGCGAATAGTTTACGATGTGAATTAAGTAAAAGCGTGGGCGTGGCGCATCGTCAACACGAAAAGTGTCCTCAGGAGAAGGATCGTTGTATACTGCAGAGAAATTTCGTATACGCATTGGCGGCTAGACGACGCATAAACGGCGGCGACGACGGCGACGGCGGCGACGGCGGTGGTTTCGGCGCCTTTTTGCATTTTTGTTAGCTCACATACATCTTTGTATGTACTTTCGCCTACGATTGCAGCCATCTCGTCGGCGGAGATTTCAATGCGACGATAAAACATCGATTGGCCGATTGCATTAAAGAAATTAATAGAAAGTACGATTGCCTGGCGGCTCCGTCAGCGTCGACGGCGGCTACGACGGGTCGCGACGCCGACGGCGGCGGCTATGTACAAAGCGACACGAAATTGTCACCGAGCCCAGTCCTCGGCTTTCACACGCACGAATCAAGTCGACGTTTCTTCCTCTGGGATCATCGAAAATCTGGGTCCGACGTAGATAGCGCGTATCGCTAAAATTTTATCCCGATCATCTCGCACCTGCGGGAAGAAATATATACCGAAATTAGAGACATTGTTTCACATATACAGATGATGTTCAATTTCGCGTTGAATGCGGACACGTCGTTTTGAATTTTTTTAAAAATTTTAATTAAATCTAATAAAAAAAATAATCGCGATTTAAATTATTTTTAAAATTGTACAAAAATACTGTTGAAAAATCTATAAAAAGCATCTCGTGTTGAAACTTGAATATTCTCCGACCTGGAAGTCATTTAAAAAATTATTATTTCACACATCTGAGAGTTGATTATATATATATTGAAACGAGATGAAAATTACAGAAGTGAGTGAATTCACTATGTGTGTTCACCAATAAAATTTTAAATATTCTAGCAAATTCGCTCACTTTTGCCATTTTCATCTCGTTTCAAAATACATGTAATCGACCTCTTTTATTTAACTGACGTAATATAATCTATCTCTTTTTGTGTTTTCAATAATTTAATGGGACATTCTAAGCGAAAACAGAAGTTATAATTTTACTTCTACTAATATTTATATATATATATATATATATATCGACATTTTCGCAAGATCTCGTAAGAAGTTCATATTTTGTAAGAATTAAGAAATACGTATCGCTTGATCGAAACGTATCAATGATGAATGCAAACTTTCACACAATAGAAGACTGTAATTAAAAATATAGATATATATAATAATTATACATTAATTTTTTTATTTATTGTGAACATTCATTATCGCGTTCGTTGTATTTCTTTTTTTGTCTCAGAAAATCATGCGGACGACGTTAGCGATCGCGTTGGTGTTCGTCACGGGATCCTTTATCGTAGCGACCGCGACTAAGGGTAGCAAGTACCCTCATTTCTTTAAGCATCGGACGAAGCTCAGAGAGATCCGCGGCTTCAAACCGGAATACATCTCCACGGCAATTGGATTCGGGAAGAGAGACGGTCCCGCGGAAGTCCTATCAGATGTTAATGGACGCGACAGAAACCTGTTGTCTATTCTGAGGAACCTCTCGCATATGTGAGTATCTCAATTAACTGACTCTACAAGTAATGCAGTAAAAAAAAAGATCAAATCTTGGAAACGTCTCGCGATCGCGTCGAATTAAATTAGAAATTCTCGTATATTTCGCTACAAATTAACGAAACTCATTGGATATATAAAGGAAATACATACAAAAAAAGAAATGAGCGCGTCTGAGAGAATTTTTATTCAATTTGGGATGATTTTGACCAAACTGCGATTAATTCAATCGATTATTAAAGTAATTTATCAAAAATAATTAACAATATTTATAAATATAATATAAAATTATTAATGTGAAATTATATTAATATAAAATTAATTATTAGTTGTTGAATGCGTTGAGAAAAAAAAGATCGACAATGAATGATATAATTAAAAAATGTGCTGTGTTTAAAAAATTTGCCATTTGAAATAATTGTCGATTAAATTAGTTGGGATTTAGTCAATCACTTTCAACGCACCATTGTTAAAATCGTAAGAAGTTCTATATTGAACATGAAATAATTTGATTGCAGCGCGTCTGCGGATAGGCTACTCCGACTGATGCAGACGAATCCTGCACTGGCTGGTAAATTGATGCAGCTATCGATGCAAAATGACCAGAGCGACCAAGGAGAGTCAATGACGGAACCCTCGAGGCCTGGGAGAACATTTGAGCTATTTTAATCCTTGCGATCGAACCGCAAACGACGAGTTTTAGAGGGGCGTCCATCTTTATAGATTCTTAGACGAAACGTTCGATATAATATCCTTGAAACATAATATATGTTCTTATATTTAGCGTTTTATCGTGTAGACGTCTTTCCTTGTAATTTCTACGCGACGAAGTATACGAAGAAATAACGAGTAATAGTTCTTTTCTTTTTTTCATCTGACAACATATAGTCGATAATAAACTCTGTCGTAGAACAATGTTCAATATATGTATATACATTGATAGTATTCTATAATTATTTCTTTTTTTTATCATTAAAGATATATATGTGTAAAATCGAAGAATACGGAAATGAAAGTAAATGGAAAAATAAATGTACATTCCTGTTTAGAATATTATTCTGTTATCTTCCATCTCCGAATTAGAATATAGCAATATATGAAACATAATGAGATATCTTGAATTGCTATATCGATCTAAAGCCTGCCTTAAATAAATAGATTCTTGGAAAATATGACAATGTTTGAAATCTTGTATTTTCTGTTTGTATTCCAAATTATTGCATCATTAACTTTTATTAATTATTATTAATTATTGTTAATTATTGTTAATTATATATATTAATTAATACATCGCTTAATTTTTAAAGCTATATATATTATAATATATATTATCTTATAAGTTATATATTCCACAATAAAATAATTCACAATCACTTTTTCAATAATTTAATGCTTAAATTGAAAGATAAAATAAAGAAGATAATTTTAAAGCTATTTTTGTTACTAAATGTTTAAAAAATATCTTGTCAATTAAAATCCTATGAGCTATGAGCAGAGTAGAATTAGACAGTTTGACTCATTCCGACTTCTAATGGATGTTCAGTGAGTTGAAAATAGTAAGGGGATTTGTTAGCCAATCAAGTTTTGAGCTCATTTGAAACTGATATGACTCATCAATGTCAGTTTCATTTGTTTTCTGTATCTACATTAGCCTGTACTAGAACTCTCTTTCTCGTTTTCAATAAACATCAAACATATATCTATCTTCACTTTAAATTCCAAAAATGTACACTAGTTCAGCCACAGAAAACAAACTTTTGTTCAAATGAGCTGCAAATGAGCTCAATTTCTGATTGGTCAAAATCTCAAACACATAACGGGATTTTCGCCAATGGCTGCGTTCAGCAGACTCAACAATTGAGCGAGCGCTCGCTGTTATTGGTGTATTCTTTTAGATCGTCCAATCAGCATTTTAGATCTAGAAGTGTGCTATCAAAACAGCAACCGCTCAATGGCCTAATTTCCATCGAGGATTTAATCCGGATCAGAATGTAAGAACCAATCAACTACAGTCGAGCATTCTCCTGTCGTTCGACTGTAACAGGGGAATACTCCGATTGGATACTCCGATATTAATACTAGCCAATTGGTCGGTTCCTGATATATTCGTTCGTAAACGAGCATATTCGCATGCCTATCTAGCAATATCGGTTAAACCTATGGTCGTAAAACGGACGTGCGTTTTCTCTCGGTTCTCTACTCTCCATCTCGACGTTCGTGCTTTGTTCTTTTCGCGACAATTACGCGACGACCGGGTGGCGGACTGACGGTATTGCCTGCGTCACGAACTGGTCTAGAGTGTTCTAGAGTGATCCTAGAGCGAGGATTTAAGGAATCCGAGACGTATTTTTCACGGCAGACTTCGTGTGGCCAAGCGCCTTCCGTCGTGGAGGACACGAGTCTCCGAGTCCGCCGAGTCTCGTCACGCTCGGCGACTTGAGAGAAACGTCAGCATTGCGGGTGACGCCGACTGCCTTGGAGCCTCGTTAAGAGTCTTGAGTCTCCGCTGAGGCCCCGCGCAGGCCTCGCAATACCGCGTGACCAAGGTAAGAATGCCCCGCCGATGTCCTGTACTGAAGCAGGACGCGGTTACGATAACGGTGCCGACCTGTGCTAGCACCCTCCCCTCTTCCCCTCCCCCCACCCCCACAAACTGAACGCCATCCCGAAAAAAACTCACGCTTGCACGCCCGCACATTCACGCCTCGCGTGTTCCTCACGTCGCAGCCTTTCGATTGCAGTAATTGTGGACGTCGCCTTTCGTCGCGTTTTAACCTTTCATCGCGCGTAACCCTGTGCCGTATAACCTAAAGGAAGAATTGAAAGGATTCCCTTCATCCGAAGATTACTTCAAAAATATCTTTTTTTTGATAGGTACCGCATGCACGGAGATAACACGTGATCTGCACTGGCATAACAGAGCGAGGTATTGTACATTGTTTCTGGAAGGAAAAGAAGGCTCCAAAAAGCTTTTCTTATTATTTTAGGTATGTTCTTTATGGGTGCTTTCTGGCAAGAGACAGATGACAATGTAAATTAGTGAAACAGTAGTTGTTTTCCATTTAAACTAAAACTTAGATAATTCTCATTTGTGATGTCAGTTAATATCACATATTGTTTTTCATTGTGACATATGAGACTCAATTGAGTTTTTATTTACAATCTATACAAGCTCATGTGTTTTAATGATTTTTGTTAATTTGCATTAAAAGTAAGATCTCCCTCCTCCTCTCTCATACAATAAATCTGTGTTGTTATGTGATAACTTTGTTGAGTAAGCAAGCAATGATGTCATTATCTAAATATAAAATATATAACTTTAGATTACAGTTATTTATGTGAAAATGAAAAGCAACTATTATACCCTCGTTGTTCATCAATGTTAAGGATAAAATGACCACCGTTATATTGGCTGCATTCGACAAGAGAATAAGTGTTCAATTTAATATGATAACTTCTTGCTTTAGTTCTTCATTAGATCTAAATGTAGGACTTAATCATATTAAAGAATCACACTGAGCACTTTTTCTGCTGAAAAGAATCACTATGTCTCCTGCTTGAAAAGATCATTTAATTGAACTTTTTGCACCATTTATCTTTCCTCTGTTTTTTTTAATGTGAAGAAAAAGAGAAAAAAGATAAACTATGTTTATACTTTTTTTAAAGAACATCTTGAGAATATTCTCAAGATATAGAATGTTTTCTAAAGATATCTTTAGGACATCCTTTAAAGATCTATGTTGAATGAGATGCAACAAGTTCAGTAAAAGAACAGACCTTTTTATAGTGTCTTTTATCTTCTTGTAAACAAAAATGAATGTACAACTTGAAAAAAAAAGAAGTCTTGATAAGATACATGATGTTAGATGGATCTCATGTATGCTATATAGGATCTGTTTAATGTAGAACTGGAAGTCGCTTCAGCTTTGTTTATTAATTGAGTAATATTACTGCAATCGATACTGGATCCCTTAACATTTCATAACATGTGCATACACGTTACACACAATATAAGTTTTTTAAAGTTTATCATAGAATTAACGCTCTTAATAATCATCATCGGAATCATCACAATGGCAAAGTTTAATTCTGGAAGGAAGAAAGTGTAATTGTCTCAAAAAAAATCTTTTTTCTTTTTTCTTTTTCTTTCTTTTTCTTTTTTTTCTTAAAGAAAATAACACGAGCTTGCATTGATAGATGTTACCTATGTATTGTAAAGAATTTTAATGATTAATTAATTGAATTATATTTTGCCAAAAACAATCATTAATGTGACGCTACTAAGATATGCCATTGTTAAAGCTTCCTTCATATGTATATATATATATATTTTCGTTGTTCTTCAATTCGCCCTCCCTCCCCTCCACCCTGGTCCCTTCCCATTTTCTTTCTCTCCCTTTAGGCCCAAAAAATATTCTTTCAGGTTGAAAGTTCGTTCGTTATAGTTTCGCTAGTGCAGTACAAAAAATACGGTTCGTGATTTGTCGGTACTTTCTTAGTTTGTGTTGTGTTCAAGTTGAAAAGTTTAAAACGACACTCTAAAAAGTTCCGCACGGAAAAAGTCCGAGTAAAAACAGTACGGTATTTGTATATGTGATCCGCAAGCAAAGTTCAGTTTCAGTAATAAAGTATTAAAAAAAAAGTTTTTAACACGTTGAATAAAAAAAGAGAAAAAAGTCGAAAGTTGTGATATAAAGAAAGTATGTTCGACATGATATGGATCGCGCGCGTTGTGCCATCAAGAGCGAATACTTCACAGACTCTAATTGATCCAGGTAAGCTCTGTGATGCTACTGATGCAGATTATTCACTGCTACATTCGGTCGGTACGTCTAAAAGAAAAAAAAAGTTAACTTACCAAATAAGAGGGAGATTGGAATGGGTTATATTTAAAGATCTTAATCAAAACATTCCCGTTCCCGTCCGATTTAAAATTACTCGCCGCCTTCTAACGAGTCTCATTGATTTACAGGCTGAAAGACATGTCCGACTCTGGTACAGATAGTTCTTCAACGGAGGGTTATGATGAAGGTAATCGACTTACTTCGGCTGGGGATGAGGTAACATCATCACGCTATTCGCATCATTCTTCCGGATCGGAGCGACAAAAGTCCGCTGCGAACTCCATCTTCTCCGGGGAAAAGTCTCCCCGATCGCCGTTGACTGACGGCGAATCCAAGTCACGGTCTCCCCCGTTATCACTGAAATCGCAGCGATCCGGGATAATGTCTCCTAGTGAGGAAGGTTCCCCAAGATCGATTCGTAGTTTATCAAAATCTCCACCGCCAATGTCACCGCCACAGTCACCTGAATCGCCAGCATATCGCCCTCCCACATCACCGACGTATCAGCCGAATGATTCACCAAAGTCCTACCATTCAGGAAACAACTCTCTTGATTCACCCCTATCGGATCGGAGTCTGTCTCGATCGCCCATACAGGATAATGGGTCGTGTCTCTCCCCCTCGAACGATTCTAAATCTATGCGCTTTGAAGATGCCGAGTCGAAGGCGTCTGACCTCGAAACAGATATGCAAAGATCTGTCGACAACTCATTAAAATCATACTCGTACAAGAACAGCGAGTCCAGGCAAAGTTCACCAAAGTCGCCTAGATCTGGTCCGAGTTCTGTGAAATCTTTAATATCGGCGAGGAGCTCACCGAAGTCGTTCAAATCCGGTCCGGCGTCTCCTATAGATGATCACGAATCGGACAAACCCTCACCGATGCATTCAGGCCCTCGGTCTCCCGAAGAGGAGAAGAATGGGTCTTATAACGAATTGGACGGCGAACAAATCTCGGATGGGGACATTGAGGACGAACCAGAGCCCATGTCTAAATCTAAACCTACACCTATGACCCATAGCGAGGATTTGTCGGACGTATCGGATCTTGAGAGTATAGATGGTCCTGAAGACTC